GGGGGGGGGTATTAGATGATTTTGAGCATTGTGATAGTTCAACCGGAGCGCCTTCGCAGTGCTATCTAGCGAATTCAAAACACTCAACAACCACGAGCAGAATCTGGAAAAGTTCGGAGATGATGTCTTCACACAGCGCCTAAATTTGGGTGGGATTATATGCTGTGTTTGATCGTTAGGCTACCATCCTGAGCCCACTTCAGACAGTGGCATGCAAGCTGTCCAAATCAACTCATCGGCCGAGCAAATTCAGGAGCTCTGTACATTGCATTGTATTACGACGTCCCATTTTGGGCGGGTAAGAACGTCTTTTTGATCATCAAGTTAACCTCGTCAAGCCACCTCAGACAGTGGCATGCAAAGCTGTCAAAATCGTTCATGAGCAGAGCAGAGCAGATTCTGGAGCTCTTTCCGATGCATAGTCTCACAGCGCCCGAATCTGGGTTGAAAATTTCATGCTTTTGATCATCAGGCTACCTCCGTGAGCTACCTCAGACAGTCTCAATCCATAGTATGTACACTCGCTAGTCTGCTCTGAGTTAAAGGGTATCGCATCAGTTCATTCCGTCTCATCTCATCTCCTGTCTCTACTCCTCAGTCTTCCGGATCAGGTTCTCGGATGGCTGAACCCGCTGAGCCCACTCCGTCCAGCTCCCATCGTATAGCCGCCTCCCTTCCTCTGGGAACCCGGCCTCAACGAGCGCGGCGTCGATGACGGCAGCTGTGACGCCAGTGCCGCAGGAGCTGATTATGGGCTTCGCGGGGTCAATGCCTTTGGATTTGAAGAGGGACTGGAGGTCGGAGGCGGGGAGGAGTGCTTTAGTCTTGGGGTCGAGCAGGTCGGAGACGGGAACAGAGACGGAGTAGGGGATGTTGCCTGAGGATAGTCCTATGCAGCACCGTATCAGTACATAAGAGCTTACCGGCATTCAGGGTATGGAGGGATGTTCGAGAGGGCACTCACCGGCCCTTGGCTCGGGATCCACCCCTTTCCACCGCCCCAAACTCCGCGCATCCAGTATCTGCACCTTCTCGGCGCCCTCCTTCCCCTGCTCCTGGGCGATCTCCTTGACCTCCTCAAACGCAACCACCTTCGCGGCATCCAGCTCGGAGACGGGGTACTCTACGCTCTCCACCTCCGCCGGCTTCCCGCTCTCCAGCGGCAAGCCCTCCTCGCACCACAGCTTGAAGTTATTCAGCACATGCACATTCGGGTGCCCAAATACCTTCAGCGTCCAGCCGACCCTCGGCGCGCTGAAGATGCCCAGCTCTTTGCTGTCATACACGACGACGCTGTCGTCCTTGCGGATGCCGAGCTTGCCCATGGCGGCGGCGAAGTCGGGCGCCGAGGGCAGCATGTGCGGGTACGGCGAGGCCGGGTCTTTGACGGCGTCGAGGTCGAAGAAGCGGGCGTGCGGTATGCGGCCTGCGCTGAAGGTGTCGATGCCGGTGCGGCCGTCGTTGGGCAGGAACCAGGTGGCGCAGAGCGGGATGATGCGGGGCGCGGTGGAGAGCCGCGAGTGGATGTTCTTCTGCAGGGCGGCATGGAGCTGGGCCGGGGTGACTAGATAGGTGGGGAGGTGGTGTTGCGAGGAGTCGGACATGGTGCGGCGGGTTGCGGTGGTGAGCGAGAGGGAGGAGGCGGAGAAGAGGCGGGTTGTGTGGCGGAGGCTGGCGAGGAGCATGGTGGAAGCTGGAGAGGGTTGGGACGGAGGGATTATGGGGTGTTTGGAGTAGTGCGGAGCTTGGAGAGTGGGGGGGGGGGAGCTTAGTATGTATATGAGGGAGGGTGAGGAGCGCCGGGGAAACGGGTTGCACAAAGCATGTGCAGCGGAGGGAGCTCCGCACGCCTAGGGCCCTTTGTCGGGCCGTTCACGTAGACATGTCACTAGTAGAGTGCAAAATTAGGGGGTGAAGAGGGGGGACTGGCAGTGTTTTCCTACAGATGTGAAGGGTGGGAAGGGAAAATGGGTGAATTGACGACATGCCAAGCATGAATTGCGATACGAGGTACCCACCCGTCCTATCTAAACACGCTGGGCGGGAAAAAGCGGCACACTCACAAAGTCGTCCTGTGTGTACGCCTGTGTGCCAGTGCTTGGAGGGTTTCAACTAGTTTCGAAGAGCCCAAAGTGAGGAACTCCCATCAGGTTGCAATCTCGGAAACTGCATTGAAGCACCCCAAGCAGGTATACACATCCACCCCCGCGGCTCGTTCCAATTAAGAGTGCCACTTCTTGTATGCCCCGCGTGCTAGAGTCAACACTGGATGGGCCGTGTGCGGTATCCACACTCTCTCCTCTACCTCTCCGAGCATCGCTCTGGCTGCATTGTTGTCCAAATCTACTAGAGACACTTCGAAAGCTCATTCAATCTCCGATTGATCACGGTAGTGGCTGCCCCGTTGCTCTCCGTCTTTAACGACCCCTCCCCTATCACTGTCACCGAGGACTGAGCGCCATATGAGTATGGACGCCGTTGATACTGCCTGAAATGCAATCCCTCATCCGGCAGTGTCCGTGAACGCAGTTCTGGCTTGCTATCCACCAACATGTACAGTTGTGGCCCACTATCAGGATGGAAACTCTTGGAAACACGCAGTATCGTTGCTCGATGCGACATGACCCCTCAGTTTTCGGCCTTGCTCAGCCCTCATTCGATGGAACAGCGCAATGAGATTGCACGACAATGCTCTCGTATATGCACCTACCCGTGCTTCTGGATTGACACCAGGATGTAGGGGGGCGGGGGGAATTACTTTGTTTGTCTGACCAAGAAACCGTCGACCATCCCAGTCTCGGTGTCCGTCATAGAGTTGTGATCCCCCGGCCTTTGTTCAGCTCGAGTCCGCCCTATCTTCCTGTCTCATGTATCCTGGATATCCGTTTGCGCATCCAAAACTTGCTTTGGATATATTTTCCTTTCACAACGAATCTCGTCTCACTATAAACCCAACTAAATCACCTATTTCCTATAGCACAGGCATTGACTTGTCCTGTGTGCTCGACTGGGTCCGCAACTCGTCAAATTCAATCCCAATCATCGATATACTCAGTACCACGATCTGTCGAGCTCGGATATTATACCATGGCAAGCTATTAATTTCATCTCAGGCTTATGACGGAAAGTGTCTTTGGACCCGGCGCCATGTTCGAAATGTCATCGCAAGCCCTCCATCTAAGGTTCGAACGTGCAAGCTAACGCGTGCCAATAGGCGGGAAACAGATACGTAGAAGGGCGGCGAAAGTCGCCCACAAGGTTGACGTCTTCTACCATGGACCCAAAGCGACGAGAACGCCGTCGCTCGGTGAGCAAAAGCCCACCATTCCGAACTTCCATGCCGTCTCGAAAACCTCCACGCTATGGGAGTGCAGCTCTTACCGACAAGAAACATTATAACCAAGCTGAACGACGAAAGAAGACCACGATAGGCCACAGTATCTCTCGCAAGGCAACACACAAGCGTATTTCACGCAAGGCGAGACCTCCCGAAGAATCTCCAATAGGCGGTAATATGCCTTATCTTAATGGCGAATACTCGGAGCTGCAGAAGCAACAGAGAACCACGCCGATGGAATGCAGTCCAGAGAAGGACGCGGACGAAGGACTCGGCACCGCTCATGTCACGCCTTCTCGCATGGGTGGCGTGGCCTTAACGACTTTGATGTGTCTCCGGACGCGATTTCTCAGCGTCCAATTATACCTTTGACCCCGTCGCTCCGCACTAGCTTTACACAAGCGCTGGGAACGAACGACCGTAGAGTTCCCGACGAGGCTTCCAGCTATGAAAATATGGATCGTGAGCGGACTGTGATCAAGCACCACGCAAGCGACTTACAGCCACTGTCATATCTCAACCGCAAGCTGGAATATATAGAACCACAAATCACATTACGAGAGAGAACCCAGAATCGATTCGCCATTGAAGGAAGTCGGAGACCAATCTTCAACGAAGAGAAAGATGGAGAGTCAGTTTACTGGAGAACCCCCAGTCCCATTCCAAGAGATCCTAGTGATCTCGAAACATCGCCAACAGCAAGTCCAGAGGTTATGCCGGATGGAGACGAGGAATCTGAGTCTATACCCGCATCTCCCGTCAGCGCCTTCGGTGTAGATATGGAAGATCGAACGAACCTAGACGAGATCAATAGATTAGAAAAGCAGCTCAAGGAGAGAAACGACCTCATTATCATATATAAAGCCGAGTACACGGGCCATAAGAAAGACCGTGAACCCTTACCGGAGTGGAAAGATCGGGCTAGAGAGCGGGTGGAATACCTTGAGGCAAAGGTAGAGCGAATGGAATCCCTCAAGACAAAGGCAGAGCAAGATCTGCATGTCAAACGGCAAAGACGTAAAGATGTCGTGGTGCAAACAGAAAAGGCCCATGAAGCGATTCGCAAGAATCCCCAGGACGAGAACGACAGCTTCCAATCCAGGATTGTTTCACTCCAAGCCGAGTTGGACCACGCCCAAACAGTGGAAATCCAAAGACAAGATCTTACAGAAAAACTAGAACGTGAGATTAATATACTACTTGATCGACTTAAAGAGGAGCAGAAAAGGCGAGATTAATATACTACTTGCTCAACATAAAGAGGAGCAGAGAGGTCTCCTCTCCAGAATTGATATACTTCAATCTGAATTGACCCAGGCCGAAGAAACCGCTTCTCAATTACGAGAACAGACAGATGTACTGGAGCGTAATTATAGATCAAACCGAGATCGGTTCCAGACGGCGACCGACAAACTCGAAGCCGACAACGAGAGCCTCCGACGCCGTATAGCTCCACAAATCGGCCATCAAGAACAGCGTCCAGCGATACTTTCTCAGGTACCAACGCGCGGAAGAAGGATTCTCGAGCAAGGCAAAAAGAACAGGCTTGAAAACGAGCGGTGCCCTGTTCTCAGAAAGGAACACGCTCAACAACCATCTCCGGTGCCCTCGATTCATTCTACCCCAAGGGAAGAAGGGGAACCAGCTCCGTGGGAACAGTGCTTACGAACCGGCAACCCACGTCAGAAAATCGAATAGCCGGTCTCATGAAGCGACGGAGCGGGCGATATTGGCACTAGTATAAGAGATGGTGACATTGTGCTGATGCCAGTTGAGGCGCTTCGAAATTTTCTCGGATACCCGTTCGTGTATGCAGATTGGAAGTCTATCCACTGCGCCCGGTATCTGTTAGTCCGTTGAAGCCCCACAGACAGTGGCAGGAAAGTGTACGTATATCTATGACGAGGCACTGCAGAACCCAGCATCAGTGAAGGCGTGGGTTGAGATGGTCCAGTGAGGTATCAACCAAAATGCTTCCGTCGCCCTCTTGGCGCTGTCTGAGGTCGCCTCGCAAGTTTACTAGTTGTCCAAATTACCGAACTTCTCTCTTACTCGGAATGCTGAAAACACTACGAAGCTCCTCATGTAGCAGCGGTAAACGAGCGTACGGATTTCAATGACGAGGCATTGTATGTGAGTTCTGGGCCCATGCAAGAAATGCTGTCTAGGTTTGGCATTAGGTAGCAAGGACATATTACAATCCTAATCATGAAGTGACAAACTCATGCTATGTTACAGTAGTGAAGACCATTGAAGAGCGCCGCGGCTATGCCTTTTCCCCTGTGCTTCTTTATAATATATACTTATACAGCTTTTCGAAGACAATGACTTTTACCCCATAGCTTACATCGGCCCTTCTCAATCCTCTCTACAGACTCTCACTCAACCATCTACTCAACGCCCGCCTCAACTCCACTCCCGACTTCTCCAGCGTCTCATACCCCCTCTCCGCACACGCAATCTTCACCTCCTCATCATTCAACCCCGCAACACCCCCATCGCGCCTGATCAGCGCATCATCCGTCTCCAAGTACTCACACCGCCGCTTAACACTCCACCTCAAATAGCTCGCTGGGGGATCAAAATACAGCAAGTCCCACGCACCCGCATATGCATCCAGCTGCGCCGCCATAGCCAACAAGCTCTGTTTATCCATGACCGCAATAGCAGAGAAGAGATCATCAGCTGCCGGCTTCTGCTGCTCCACCCGTGTCGTAGCCTTCGCGGACGCCATGAGAATCCGCTCCTTCCTCCTCGCCCGCCGCCGCTCCGCCTTCTCCGCCTCTTTCCGCGCCTGCACCGGTATGCGACACGGGCCCGGCACCAGCGGCGTGATCCACAGCGCAACCAGCGGCATCCACTCCCCCAGCAGCAGCACCAGCGCCGCAAACGGCACCAAGCGCTTCATATCGCCCCTCGACCGCCTCAACAATTGCCAATCCCCTCGCGTGATTGGAGGCAGCGACGCCTGTGCATCCACACGCCCCTTGCTATTCTGCCCCTCCCCCCCCTTCCTCGCCCTAGCCTCCAACTTCTCCCGCATCTTCCACCTCACCTCCCCCGCGTACTGCGCATTCTTCCCCACGCGCTTGATCCCGTCCTTGTAGAAGCTGATGTACGTCTTGCCCGACTGCCAGAGATACGACGCCCAGCCCTGCCCCGGCGCGCGCGCCGCGACGTTCAGGGGCGGGGGGTAGGCGGTCTCGGGGGGGTTGAGGCGCAGAACGCTGGCGCGGAGGGCGGAGGCGCGGGCTACGCGGTCGCTGTGGCGGCCGGATTGCGAGGGTTCGGAGGGCTTCGGTGGGGTGTTTATTGGTTTAGGAGGCGCTGGGGAGACCTTTGGGTTTATGGGGGTGGGAGGCGGTCGGCGCGTCGCGGCGGTGGCGGTGGAGGCGGAGGCGTAGCGGCGACGGGAGGGGGGTGAGAGTATGGCTGGTATGAGCATTGACGCTCGAGTTGTTGCGTGCCGTGGTCGGTGGTATGGTGCTGTGGAGAGGTTCCGGGTTTGGAGGGCGTTCAGATGGCATTGAAGCGGGGAGATGCGCAGAGAAGTTGGGAAAGAGAACCCTAGGGCAGGCGATTGGAACTTCATAGCGACAAAAGCGCTTTAGAAGAGTGTAGGTTATGTGGAAAGATGAAGCGCAACAGACCCTCTGCGGAGATACGACTAAGATTTCTCGGTACGTCAGACGCCAGGTCGCGCCGTCATCAATTTTCGCGATTGGCGCTATGACACGTGATGCAATGTCTTAATGTAGCAATATGTACACTCTTCTACCACGGTCAGGAATATCTCATCACACCTCGACAACTCTAAGCCTACCGCCATTTCCTATTTTGTTCATTTATTTCGACCCGCCGGAGCATCTCAAACAGCAAACAGGAAAAAGCGATTGATGAGTTGCTTGAATTCTTTTGCTACATGCGCATGGTCAATGCCATCAAAACCCATAGCCTCCATGATTATTCCACGGCTGCAGCAATAGCGCCACACGTTCTCCGCCCTTGAAACTCCTTGCCAAATATAGAGACACAGGGCAGTTATGTACAGAAGAGGAAATCGCCTACCTCCGGTATTTTGCCAATTGGGCCATGATCTCATTCATGTCAGGTTGTGGTGCCGGTTGGTTTTGTGCCGGGGGAGCTCGAGACTGCGGACCATTTGGCTGCTGGCCTCCAAGCAAGGACGCCAATGCTGGATTATTTGCCAGAGCTGCATACGCATTCTGATCAGGGCCCCCTCTTAAAGGCGTTTGTTGACCGTATCCCTGCTGCGAAGGAGGTCCAGCAGCGGCACTTAGAAGACGGGCCAAGTCCGGACTTAGGCCTGTCTGGGGCTGCTGCGCCTGCTGTGCGTTTGGCTGCTGCATCACACCAAGTAGCTTCTGCAATCCCGACGTGTCGAGAGAGGAGATCAGGGTAGAGAGATTTGCATTCTTAGCCGGTGGTGGAGGGCCTTGACTCGGAAGTCCTTGCATTTGGGGGTAACCAGGCTGCGACAAGCTGTATCCTGAGGATGGCATGCCGTATTGTGTGGGTGTCGGGGGAGCGATAGGCAACACGTGAGTGTGTTTCGCGTTGAGAACAAGCTTAGCAGCTGTAGATGGCTCGAGATCAGCGTATTCTATGGATTTCTGTCAGTAAAAGCGCTTCAAGACCGATTAGCGCCAAATACCTTCATATCTGATATTATTCTCCCCGCCTCTCCTATCGAAGATCGTGAGCGGAATCTTACTTGTCTCGAGCGATCTGCGATCGAGCTTAGAGACAGCTTGAACACCCTCCAGGATCTGCCTTCGGACAACTGCTTCTTCTGACAGACGAGGACTGAGCAGAAGGACATTACAGCGCAGGCCTTCTCGGTGGAAAGCTCCCTCAACCCATGCAATGAAGTCCCTATATAGAAAAAAATCAATGACGAGCTTATCCATATGAGCTGTGGAACGACGAACCGAACTAGGTCATCTACAACGATGACTTGAATGTCGGGAATCTCATGAGGTGCCCTTCGTGGAAGAGGCAAGTCGTCTTCGGTATCTCTCCTAGGTGAAGGACTCCGGTACCTTCCTCGCCCAAATCCTGGCGGAGACCTGGATGGACTCCTCCTCCGTCCATCATATCGATCGCGGCTCCTATCCCTGCCTCGGCCGCCGCGGCCACCACCGCCGCCCCCACGAGGCGATGGGGAGCGTCCAGGACGGTAGTCATCACGACTCCGACGGAACTCCCTGTCTCTTGGAGACGACCCATTTGGCTGGCTACTATATCGATCCATACCTCGGCCTCCCTGAGAGCCTGTTCCCCCTCGAGTGTAGTCCGGTGAGCGCGATCTACGTCGAACGCCGCCGCCCCTAGCGTTATTGCCTCCGTCGTCTGCCTTGCGGGTATTGCGCTGAGGTTTCGAGATCTCGAGGTCTGAAATGGTCAGAACTGTTCAAAGATAGCCATAGAGCAAATTCAAACTTACGCATCTTTCTGCCCCGAATGGATTGACCCTGCTCTGCCTGTAGGGCAGCACGACATTGATCTGCATCTAGAAACTGGACGAAACCGTATGCTTGCTTAATGGATATCTGTGCGAGTCTGCCGTGCCTGTAGAATCTGTGGAATATATCGCGCTTCGTGACCTTTTCCGTGGGAAGATTGCCTAGAATATGAGCACCAGAGTAAAGTCAGTGCACAGGGTTGAAAGCCTACCTATGAATAACCTAGATCCGAGAGGGAATTGATCCCATTGGCCATCGGTTACGAACTTCCTCTCTTGATCCAGAAACTCGTCATATATCTTGTTTATCGCTGGTGGCCATTTCGCATCCTCATCATCAAGCAGATCTAACTCCGGTCTGTGGTCAAGCGAGTCGCCTCGCCGAGAATTGGAAGTGTTAGGGCTTTGGTTCGATTGTGTAGCGGACATTGGAGGCTGTTGTGAGTATGCCGAATTGGGTGGCCCGGATCCGGGGGCATTCCCAGTCATCAACGGTTTTAGGCCGGGCTGGCCACGATAGGAGGCATCGGGGGCTTTGCGACTATGGGGATGATATGATCTGATGTCGTCTTCGGGGGCATAGTTCGGATGGGTGGCGGGCTTTGCCTGTGGGGGAGGTCGGGGGGGAAGGTTGGGAGCGGGTGGTAAAGTGGAAGTCGAAGCCAAAGCATTGCTCTGTGCTTGGGAGGCTTGAGAGGGCAGGGGCGCGATAGCATTGCCGTCATTTTGAGAACTGTTACCAACGGGAGTTGAAAGTTTGTCCATTATGGCCTGGAAGACGGCCCCTCCACCACTGCCGTTCCCATTCCCATAGCTCTCATTGGAGTAATCAGCGTAGCCCTGGGAAGGTTGGGGTTGTGAGTCTGCGCCGGGGTAAGGGCTACGAGCAGGAGGGTCATAGGAGATGGGATACGGAGATCGTTCTTCGTGCTTGGGTGTAGAAGTGGCGTCACTGAAGGAAGCGGCGGCGTGCTGCGGTTGGGCATATGTGTGTATTGCGGAAGTATCTTGGTTGCCCGGCGCAGCATATCCTACTGACCTTCCATACTCATCGTGCCCGCTGGCCGACGCGCCTCCAGTCTGAGCGTTGGGGTAGACAGGCGCAGACTGAGCCTCGCCATAGTAGGAGCGGAGAGCTGGGTCGCTTGGAGGGTTTTGGTGGGGAAAGGAGCTGTACGGGGAAGTGCCCTCGACACTCAGAGCGGACTCATGGAAAAGGGGATCCATTTGGAGTTCAAGGATGGGGATGTTGGAAGGCGAAGGGTAGTAAACGGGTTTTGGCGACTCGGGCGTCAGAGTTTTGCCTCGAAAGTGTTCTGCTTCTTGCGGAGGGCTGGGGGTCATGTAGGCTAGCAAGGCGCGCGGCCTCTTCAAGCACGCACAGCCAGAGAGAAGAAGTCAACTCAAGTCATTTAAGAGAAAAGGGCGGACAGAGGGAGCGCGGGCTGCGCGGGGTGGTGGCGTCTGGCAGAAGGTCAGAGGGCAGCCGTGGCCGGAGAGCGAGGCCGTGGCCGGGGCGCAAGCAGCTGCTGTAGAGGGAGCAGCAGGAGAGTCACTGCGAGGGGCGGTGGAGGAGTGTGGGCGCTGTGGGTTGTGGTGATAGCCGGTGGAAGAGTCACGGGCGGTTGGCGGTTTGCGGAGCAGAAAGTGGACGGCACGCCCACCGGTGGAGCAAGCCTGGTCTGTGGTTAGCCGTTTGCGCTTAGTCAGTCCATCACGACTTGCGGCCTCGCATTTGCACAACGACATAGCGCTCCATGTCTGTCCGCCACCATGTTGCGCTGCCCGGCGCGTCCTTTCGTTCCGCTCGCGTCTGCGCAGTCCCTGCTGCTCCCTGCTGCGCTGAGGCTCTTCGCCTCCCAGCGACTTGCGGGTGACGCGACTGCGGACGACATCCAGGCCGCGCGACGCTGGCTCGAGAAGCTCGACCCCGACACCATCCCCAAGGCCATCTGTGACCTTTCTTTCAGCAGGTCTTCGGGACCAGGCGGTCAAAACGTCAACAAGTATGCATTTCTGTGCTCATGGGTGCAAGCTAAACTGAGTCCCGAAGGGTCAACTCCAAGGCCACGCTGAAGCTGGAAGTCAACAAGCTGCTAGCCCACGTCCCCAGCCTCCTCCATTTTCCAATTCGCAGCTCGCGCTACTATGCGCCTCGTTCCAATTCTATCATCATACAAGCCGATGATAGCAGGAAGCAGAACGACAACACCCACAGCTGTTTTGCTAAGCTCCACAACCTCATAGTTGAGGCAGGCAGGGAGGCCCTGCCGGGGCAAACTTCGCCGGAGCAGTCTCGGCGCGTTAAGAATCTGTGCGTTGTAAAGTTCTCTGCGTGATTTCCGTCCCGTGCTAAACCTTCCTCAGGCAGAAATCAGAGAATGAGCATAGGCTAAAGGCTAAAAAGATGCACAGCAGTAAGAAAAGCACGCGGCGTGCAAGTGGGAATAGTGATTAGCTACAATACCTTACAAGTAGTCAATGAAAATGGTCCGTGGTTATTCATGCCAGCGTTGCGATCGAAAAGGCTATGTATCTCACTGAACTCTGCGCCCTTAGTCTTTCACCCAATTCATTGATTGCGTGGTCAATCCAGCTCCGCTCACGCCCACCTGGTCATCTCAGGCCCAATCGGCCATCATCTGTAGGATTGGAGGTCGAGGGTCAGCTCTGTCTACCATCATGACTGATACCGTTGAACTTATTGATTGCTCTTTTCACCTTTTCAATGACCTGGCAAAGCCGCCAAGGAGGGAGACGTGCCACAGTAGATGTCGCATACATATCTTCAAGCACTGAGGCGCCCTCCTCATGTACTACAGACCCCGAAGACCGTGGTCTCTGGCCGAGGCAAAACATGGTGGTAAAGGATGATGGCGGTGGAGAGCACGTGAAGATGTCGTCGGGATTCCGGGCTATCCCTTTTCCGAAAGAAGTGGCATTTCCTACAGCACATCTATTTCGCAATTGGCGGACTATATACTATACGGAGGACAGAAGCCAAAAAGAGAGTCTTGTTGCAGATATTAGAAACTATTCGCATGTATCTCAATATTGTGATAGCACTCGCGGGGTCGCGCGGAACGGCCACTGGCACCAAATGCAGCAGGTGCCACTTTCCAAAGTCAGCTGCAGGCATTTGAGTCTCGTCGCGTCCCTGAACGCTGCTTCAGGAGTGTCCGCACCGACCTCCCTCGCTGTCCACATCTTCCATTCCCCCTTCTCGACACTCCTTTCTCTTTCTTGTTCATATGGGGAGCTGTTAGGTAAATTGTTTCTTCGATCCTGATGGCGCCGAAATTTAAAGACGGAGATGTCGTCGCAACGGTACCAGATCCAACCCTCCCCTCCGCGTCCGAAGACTGGTGCTTATTTTACCAACAGATCTCTGGAAAATGGATATCATGGGCTCATACTGGCGCAGCATATGGTGAGTCTGCTTGAATCTCAACACGTCGACGCGTGCTAACCGTTGCAGCTGCCTTCCTCGGGGCTCTAATTGTGGGAATGTAATGCGCTTCCTGATCACTCCCTACCATCCAAGCTCACGCTGCACAGAGGCCTCCACTACAAAAAGATTGTACAGAACGAATTCTATGTTAGTTGGACGTATCATTGGGCAAACTCCTGCTAACCTGTGCCAGGGCTATCCAGATGAATGGTTCCCCTCCGTCTCGGCAACGATTGGAGACAGATACCCCGAGCGATCCGTCTTCATGGTCTTCATTGCCATAACATCTGGTACGCTTGGATGGGATATCACCAAGGCTGGATACTGAGTTTGTCTTAGGACCGCGCTTCGCATTGGTCGGCCTGTGGTACATCTTAACGCGGAAGTCCAATTCGACCTTACCCAAATTCGTTGCTGGCGTGGGCATATTCAGGACTTTGACATGTGGCGGGTGGACATACGTGACATCCACGGATGATCACCACTGGCATGATATCTTCATGATATCTTACCTGGTCGCGACGGTTCCCTGGACTTTAGGGTGCCTGGCACTGAGCCCGCGGAATCCCACAGCAGTGAAGTACCGCAAGATATTTGCCGGAGGTTTCTTTGCTACGCTGGTGCCTCTAACCTATTTCTTTCTCCAACATAAGGTCCACCGAGTGGCGGGAGGTAAGCGTTCAATTCCCTCGTTTTGTCCGCAGACTAATTTGACTCTAGCCTACACGACATACGCCTTGTTTGAGTGGTTAACGGTTCTTCTTGATGTCGGCTTTGATACGGTTACTGTACTAGATTTTGCCAGCCTTGAGATTGTGATCAAAGACGTACGAGGACTAAGTCGCGGGTACGTTACATGGCTACCCAAGTAGATAGTCACCCTGTCAGCTTCAAAATGAAATGATCACCGAGAAACCATTCTGATCCCAATGCGTATTCAGTAATACCCAAACCGTAGCCGAATCTGTTTTAGAGAAACAGTACGTAAGATAAGCATCCTTGGCACTCATCCGTCTCTTACAAGCCTATAGGAAAGACAAGGAAGTTGGCAACGTCTTCTCTGGGGCATTCTCGTGGTCAGCGGCCATCGATGCTGCTGCAGACGTCTACAACGGGGTCAGTCATCGTACTTTGAGCTAAGCTAATCATTTACTGATACTTGTCCAGTTTGTCTTCTGGTCGATGCTCACTTCTCTCGCCCTTTTGATCTGGTGTAAGTGAGCTCCTTCGACGTTCAGACTTATGTGCTAACGAAGCAGACTTCCCACTGTGGTACATGGGTCTCTGTGGTTACGAGATCGCGATCTTGGTCACTATCTCGCCATTCTTGCTCGGAATCAAGCCTCTACGCTTTCTTACCGTACGACGAGTCCGCCTTTGCCATCTCCTTTCCCTTGTTGGCCTCCTTTCCTTTCTCACAAAGACTCCTGAGAGCCGCCTCTTTACCACTGCATTCGGTGTTGGGATGTCAGCCTTGTCGTGGTCGGCCACATTCTATGGCGAGCGGTCTCAGCCCCAGCGCCTCGAGGCCCGCATTTCAGCTTTCATTCTTGGCTTGCTGGCTTCCAGTATCGCTAAATTCGCCTTCTGGACAAACAATCCCATTTGGCCCATTATGCACGGCCCTAACGGAGGCTGGAACAAAGTTGGGCTTGCTCTTGCTGTACTTGCCGTCCTACGATCCACCCGTGGCACTGCAAGCTCAGGGGCCGACATGCCTGCACCTGGCTCATCCAAAGGGTCTCGGACTCTCGCTGCTCTTGGCCTAGCTGGCTTGTTTTTCGCCCTGCACACTCTGCTCTCGGACTCAAGCACTATGATATCATGGGTATGGGAAGGGTATCCCGTGCGTGGTCCTCTCGCTGTTCCACATGGCGCCTACACTCTCCTAGCCATGGGATTGGGTCTCGTCATTGGTCTGTTCTATCCTACCTTCACTCGAAGCTGGACATTCTTTGGTGCAGGTTCCATCGGTGCTGCAGTCTTGACAATCTATAGCCACTGGACCGGATACTACGGTGCTCTAGTCCTCACCGTCTATATCATGGCGCTGTCTCCTGTCTTGATCTCGTCCGCTGCAAGATTCCCGCCTGGATCAACATTTGGACTCGCCTTTCTGGTCTATAACCTCGCCCTTCTTGCCCATGTGTGGACTGTTGCGTATGCCTTCGTACCTGGTGGTCCACTGTTGCGCGAACGCACCGATATTGTTATGACCGTCATGATGCTTTTGATCGGGTGTGGCGTCTTCGGAGCCAGCTCTCAGAAAGTCTCTCCATCCAGTGCAAAGTACCGTGCCAAGCTTGGCAGTATCAGTCCTGCAGCACGGAAACAGCGATCATACTATCTATATATCCTCCTTGGACTCGAGCTTCTAGCAACGTCAGTAGCGTACTTGCGATTCCCCAGCTATGACTACACACCTTATCATGCTGAAGATAAAGTCATCACAGCTGGCATTTGGACCATTCATTTCTCCGTCGATAATGACATGTGGAGCTCCGAGCACCGCATGCGCGATGTAATAAAGGAGCTTGAACTGGATGTTTTCGGCCTTCTGGAAAGCGACACTCAACGCATTCTCATGGGCAACCGCGATGTTACACAATTCCTAGCGGAAGATCTCGGAATGTATGTGGATTACGGACCAGGCCCTAACAAGCACACATGGGGAGCGGCACTGCTGTCCAAATTCCCTATCGTGAACAGCACACATCATCTTTTGCCTTCCCCGGTCGGCGAGCTTGCACCCGCTATCCATGCAACACTAGATTGTTATGGCAGTTTGATCGATGTCTTCGTATTCCACTCCGGGCAAGAAGAGGACCCGGAAGACCGCAGATTGCAATCTGAGTACCTAGCCAAGCTTATGCGCGAGAGCCCTAGGCCGAGTATTCTGCTCAGTTATCTGGTAACTAAACCCAAAGAAGGGAATTACAACACCTACGTTGGTGAGAAGAGTGGGATGCGCGACATCGACTCTTCCGACTGGGACCGCTGGTGCGAATACATCTTGTACAAGGGCATAAGGCGTATCGGGTACGCAAGGGTCAGCAGGAGCACGATTACTGATACTGAGATTCAGGTAAGTGGCACTGTTATTTTCAGCGCTGATTTCTCTTGCGAAAGGCCATTAGCTGACACAAAGTAGGCCGGCAAATTCCTCGTTGGCGCCCCCGAAGGAACTGATGACCAAATCTCTGAGGACCAAGTGCCTATTGGCCAAAGATGGCCGGCGCTTTTCAGAGGACAGGGTGTCAGGGACCATCGGTATCATGTGTTTGAGGAGCCAAGATACTACGCGTAGGAGAGGTTTTGGAGGAGCATGGAGGAAGTAATGGAGAAGGGGCGCTGTGCGCCTTGATGTAATGCTCCATGTATAAATATGCATCAGTTCCAAATTGACCAGCATTCCGGGTCTGCCGCGTTACATAGAAATAATGACATCGGAGTTGACACTTGAATAGTGCCGGCAAGGGGAAACGAAGCTGTAGATCATGTGTCAAATGTCCTGCCCTCACACATGCCTGGCCCTGCATTGATGTTATCTCAAATGCAAAATCCTCCTGTACCTACATAAAACGCACATGCCTAAAATGATCCCGTCAATTATTATATCACGTGATGACGTGGTTGTCGCGTTCCTCTCTCGTGTAACTCCCAGCTTTATCTCCACCCGGCACATCTTGTCCTAAGATACTCTCTTACTTATTACGTCGGACAATACTAGTTATTCTACCTAGTGAGAATAGTCGTATCTGCTTCAGTGTCCGTAAGCCTAGTCCTGCTTGCTTTCCACCTCACTGACACCTCCGCACGTCCAGATTCCTTTAGCAACCCCAGTACTATATCCCAACTACTCACACATCTTCTCACCTGAGTTCAACTCACTTCCATGTGTCGAGTTCCGCCGTTCGGCAATACCTCCCACCGCGTCCTCTTGCAACACACTTGACGTGTAGTCGTCAATCCGGCGCCGCCATGTTCAAACGGGCTCTCGCTGCTCACGAGAGGGAGAAAGCAGCAGGCTTACTCGATAATGACAACGCGAGCGAAGCGCCGGAAAGGAAGAAGGCGAAGAACCAGTCTGTCGTGCAACCGGTGGACTTAAGTCGATCAACGAATGGAGCTTACAAGAGAGCCTCGGAGGATATGAGAGGCGAACGATGGAGCATGCCCAACAATACAGTCTCTGCGGCGTCCGATTTTGTGCTTCCCGAAACCGCATATGGGGCCAATCCCGATGGCGTGCTGAGTCCAAGTGCTCTAAAGGCCCATGAACATCCCGTCAACGTCATTACACATACACCGCACCTCGGAACTACTTATAGATCACACACGCATGGGATTCCCATCGAAGCATCAGTGGTGGACGGAGACTATAGCGACCCTCGTTATCCAACTAGAGAACAAGAAAAGGCAAATGAGGCCCAACGCAAAAGGAAGGAGGGTCAACATGAGCATCCACCAGTCATCCTGGAACTAAGCTCAGATCCTCCTACCCCGGAAGCAACATCTACAAACTACACAAATTTCCAGGCTGAACCTTCGGATAGTTCTCCAAGCGTAGTCAATCTAGTAAGCTCCGACGAGGAGCCGTCCCCGGATCTATTACGAAAGACTGCAGATCGTGCCAAAACCCGGAAGGGGAGAAGTACTACATCAACCGATCATGACTCAGACGCCATATTCTCTGAGCCGGACAAGTCATTCCATGTTGCCTCGCATGCTAACCCATTCGGTTCCGCAAGCAATGTATTTGATACAGAGCAGCGATCAGACCCAAGCCAGAGCGTCCAATCTAAGGACATTGTACCGATCACGGAGCCTGAGCTCTGTAAAGAACAAGCAGATCTCGTAGATCTAATCGTCAGTGGAAGGAACGTTTTTTACACCGGTTCTGCAGGATGTGGAAAGTCCACAGTCCTCAAAGCATTTGTTAAACGTCTCCGAGAAAGAGGACTGCAAGTGGACATCGTAGCACCGACGGGTCGTGCCGCATTGGATATCAACGGCTCAACTACTTGGACCTACGCTGGATGGACCCCTAACCACCATGGAAGACCTTTGAAAACTCTGAAACAGGCCGCACATGGAAAATTTGTCCAAAAGAGACTGAGAGCGACCGATGTTTTGGTCATTGATGAGATTTCCATGGTTGAGAATCTCCATTTTGAACGACTCAATGAGGTCATGAAGGAAGGCAGAAACAATGAGTCGGCATTCGGAGGTGTTCAAATTGTTGTCACGGGGGACTTTTGTCAGCTGCCTCCAGTGAAACCATTTGGACATTGCATCAAATGCGGCAAAGAGCTGCGAGCAAACTTGGCTCGGACCGAATTCACGTGCCCTGATTGCGGTAAAGTATACTTCTTGAAGGACCAATTTGCATTCAAAAGCCAGGCCTGGAAAGAATCGAACTTCGTCCACGTGAACCTCACAAACATACATCGACAGAGCGATGCCGTTTTCATCAACATACTGCAGAAGTGTAGGATGGGCAAGGTCTTAACCCAAGCTGACCAGGATCTCCTCCTCAATCATCATTCTGAGACTAGGGGTGCCGTAAGACTTTTCGCAACCCGCGAAGAAGTAAGGCGAACCAATCTAGAAGCATTCAACCGACTCCCTAGTCGCGCGCGCTTATTCACGTCTATCGACACCTTCAAGTGGAACACAGCACATCGCAATCTAGAGTTCAAGACGAAGCAAAATGATGATGGCACGTTGCAAGCATTGCATGATCATCGCTTCGACGGCACGCTACGTCTGAAGCAAGGAATGAATGTCGTTCTTCTTGTGAACCTTGACATTGGTGCTGGACTTGTCAACGGTAGCCAAGGCATAATACAAGGGTTTGAGAAGTACGACCCCCAGCAAATGCCGAAGACCATCGAAAATGCAAGCAAAATCCCGCCAGTATCGAAGGAAGGGGTGCCCACGCCTCCAGTACCAACACTTTCAGGCGATCATGCCGCCTTCAGAGAGGGTCAAATCAAAGACTTCATTACCAAAAGTGGGAACAAAGAGTGGCCTATCGTGCAATTCAACAACGGAGTAAGACGGACAATTTATGCTGATTGCACGGTGAACGAGCTCGGCGACGAACAGCCGCATTCTTTACTTTGCCGAACGCAAATTCCGCTCACAGCTGCATGGGCTCTCTCCATTCATAAGTCTCAAGTTCGTTCGATGACACTCCTTAAAAACCTTCTCTGACCCGAATTCTAGGGAATGACGCTGAATCGCGTGATAGTTGACTTGAGTAAGAGTTTTGAAGAGGGCCAAATGTATGTTGCAATCCCCGGATCTCTTTCTCCTTCCACGTACTAACCATTTTACTCTCTCAGGTATGTCGCTCTCTCTAGAGCCAGAAGTCTTGACGGACTGAAAGTGGAAGGACTAGGCCGAGGAATGAAAGGCGGAGACGAACAGGTTCGAGAATTTCTGCGGGAAAAGTTTGGAATCACCTAAGGAGGTTACCTACAGTGCATGATTGAAGATACTGAGCCTTTTCATTAAAGGCCTCGGCGACTTGGTGTAGCTGTTGCGTTATTTCTCCTTCTTTTCGATATCAGGCTTCTAGATATTGTGATACCCCTTTAGTATGCTCATCTATTCGATTCAAAGTCTGTGATGTATCCTTTAGTCACGCTCAGATTGCAAGCGGAGCATACGGGAAAGCTCCAGGCAATCAGGTTGTGCTCCAGAATGGTCTCAATCTTTTTGCACATTCATTGATAGTACTTATGCTGGTCGCTACGTATTTTCTGCGTTGGCGATTGGTCTATTCCTTCACTCTCACGATAACCTTCCCAAAATGCCCTCCACCAAAGAGATTTTTCAACGCTATCTTACTCTCCTCAAACGGGAAGACTTTATCAACGGCAGGACGAATACCATGTTCCTCATAGAACCCCAACATCTCCTCGAATCGATCTTTGGGTCCATTCAGAATCCCCCCCAACGTGACGTTCCGCCGCAACGCAAGCACGTTTGTATTCAATCGATCTCCGGGATCGTCTTCTTTGCCAGAAAGGTACCCGATTCAATCAATGAGACCGCCGAAAGCGACGCAATCGAAGCTTTTTCGGAGAGTTCGTGCGCCACCGAGCTTGAAGATGATGTCGGCGCCGTAGTCGAAGGTGAGTTTGAGGACTTCTTGCTCCCATTTGGGGGTTGTGGTGTAGTTTATCGTGTGTGTGGCACCTAGGGCTTTGGCTTTGGCGAGTTTTGGCGTCAGAAGAGGACGTGATTATTGCTGGACGAGTTAATTTATATCAATTTGGTAGTCTTACATAGCTTCTGGATGGAAAAGAGAATTTCATATCTTACCTATTGCACCAGCAGCATTGGCTATCTGTAAACCCGCTATACTCACACCACCTGTGCCCTGCAATAGGACTACCTCCCCTTTACCACCTGTCTGACCCATTGGCCTCATACCGTTGATAGACATCCAAGCAGTCATACTAGCGATTGGCAGAGTACAGACTTCCTCATCCGTCAGATACTCAGGCACCTTCAAAAGGCCGTAAGTTGGGAAAACGCGATGAGTGGTCAAAACGCCTGGGTTTGGGCCACCTAGTCCGAAACCTAACATCTCCGCATTGACCTGGCCCGTAAGATGTTTTGGAGCAAAGGTTGAAACAACACGATCGCCCACCTTGAGAGGGCTCGGTGAAGATGATGGACCGACTGCCAGAACAACGCCGCACATGTCGGAGCAGGGGACGAGGGCAGTCGGCGAGTTCGCTGATTGGTGATGAGTATAGAGGCTCATAACGACTGCCAATTTTTAGCGACGCTGTCATTTCTGGTGACGATATTGATGAGCGTCCAAACCTTCCGTGTCTCGATAGTTCAATGAGACAGTCAGTACTTCAACCAAGACTTCATCTTCAGGTGGAACTGGCATCTCCCCTTCTGCCATCGTCAGATTGTCGAGTCCATCCTGCTTCGTCATCCATTGCTTGATCTTGGCCATCATGAGTATGTATGCAATGTAGCATCAAACTTACACTTTGGACAACGGAAATATGCCTTTTCATAGACGGGTCGTCCTTATCAACATTCATCGGATCGGGAATGCAGCTTCCGACAGCGTTTACGTATGGGTTTTACCGTGATGGATCTCCATTCCGGCCTATACTTGGCACGATGGCGCTCTTGATTATGAGCGCGTGATGCAGGTCCGGATTATATAGAGGGCGGCGTGAGGAGAGGCACTGAGATAGACACAAAGGAGATGAGGTTTACGCTAAGACACAAACAGACTAGCACGTTGTGTACTCTAGGCTTCATCTCGATGCTGTTGGTCATCAACATACTCTCCTCATGCTTTCACAGAACAACAGCCGCACTAATTCACAAGCGCCTGGTAGACATGGTGTACTGTGGGAGGCCGAGCAAGGGATGTCAACCTTGTCGTTCTCGGAAGACAAAGGTGAACCCGTCTTTCCTAGGAATTTACTTCAGCTTTGCTAACCAGACTGTAGTGTGACGGAGCTATTCCAGCTTGTTCTCAATGCTTGAAAGCTTCCCGCGAATGCTTTGGCTATCGCAACGAGCAGTCTCTGATATTTCGAGATGAAACCCGCAAGGTCGTACGGAAGGCCCGAGGCAGTAGTTCTACACTATCGCGTAAGCATACAGAGCGTGCTACTTCCCCAGAAGAGCAAATTGCGATCCAAGAACCTTCAGCATCTACTCCAGAAACTAGTCCTAGTACTTTAGCTATTATTACTCCCTCCCGTCTAATAGAGGACGATGCGGCATCTTTTTTCTTCTTCCATTATGTATTGAAAGAGCCCGCGTTCGCGAATGGGCTCTACGATTTTCTTCCTACGCTGTATTCTCAAGGTTCATCGGCAGTATTTCAAGATATTGTAACTGCGACGGGTCTAGCAGGTCTCGCGAACCTGAAAAGATCACCTACGCTCATGCATGCCGCAAGAGCCAAACATAGTACAGCACTTCGCACTGTCAACGCCTCCCTTCAAAACCAGCAGACAGCAACCTCCGATTCGACCTTGATGGCGGTCCTCTTGCTCGGGCTTTTTGAAGTAGGTCGATTTCCCTTCTCTTGGAGACAGTGTCTGAACATGATAAACAGAACATCACTTGTTCGTCTCCAAATTCAATTCATACGTGGGCTAAACACGTGAGTGGAGCGCTTACGATAGCTCGTATGCGTGGACGGCAACAGCTTGAACATGACCTTGGGCGTCGACTGTATCTGCATCTCCGAAATCAAGTGGTATAACTTTCCCATTTCTACAAAATTTGAGAGGTCACTAATCATGTGCAGTTGATCGACTGTATGCAAAGGCAGGAGGCCATACCAGACATCATCACCGAATGGAATGCAAGCTCATTACGTTCTGGACACTTTGAAGAAGCAAACGGGCTTGGGTTTGTGGAACCTCGCTTGTTCCAAATCATGGCTCAGCTTGCCGCTCTCCGTCATAAAATCAAAGTCAAAGGTCATTCACATGCAACTACTGCAGAGGCAGTATCCATTGACAACGACCTCATTACATGGGCAGCGACAGTTTCTTCAGACTATGCATATACTACGGTGTCTCATAGTAGTTCCAACTTCCCATTCCCGTATTATCACAACTACAAATTCATCTGGAGTGCTACATGCTGGAATATATATCGTACTGCCCGGATATTTGTCTCCGACAAAATAATTCACTGGTACTCATCGTCAAACTCCACTGTCGCGTCGCAACAGATACTTTCCGGATATATCCAAAACGAAGCAGTGCTTGCAGACGAAATCTGTGAAAGCGTGCCTTATTACTTTGGCGGAGACCCAGAATGTGTTGATTCCTTGCCAACCGCTCCTAAAGCAGCTTCGGGCTTTGCCCTCCTCTGGCCTCTATACGCAGCTGCAACGACATACTATCCGAGCAAGTTTCGAACTGGCTGGATTGTAAAGCAGTACGACGTTATTGGAAATATGCTAGGTATACGATTGGCATCTGTGTTTGCGAGCACGCTCAGAAAGAACCAACACATCAGTGTCTGGGATCGTGACCCGGCCGATTGTATTGAAGATGATGAGGTGTGGTGAATGAGGGAGGAATTGTCTCGTTAGCATGCTATCTAACATCTCGGCCCGCCTGCTCTGAAAAATATGCAATATCTGACAGGGATGTTGGGTCTAATGTCCCCCCGCCGTTATCGGCCTCGTTGTAGCTTTTTGATCAATTAGCCCCGCCGGCATAACAAGTTATATATTGCTATTTATTTCTACCGCCTTTAAATCAACCAATAAGACTGAGTGGTTTAGTGGTAAAATTAGGTAAGCATTGTCTACTCAACTAACTATCTGGTCATCAAATTGCTAACGTATACAAGCCGTTGCCAAAAAGCACAATCGGCTAGCCCCGGGTTCGATTCCCGGCTCAGTCAATACATTTTTTTGCATTTCATGGCTCTAAAAGTCTAACTATATTATTTTTTGCCTCCTCGGTGTGTGTTCATCATATTTCGTCTTCATCACTGGTTCAGTGAAATCTGCTTAGCTCCCAGTTCAGCTTGAAGGTCAAATAAATGGTCAGGGCGACAGCAGAGCAGTTCCCAGCTTTAGGACATCAAGTAATACCGAAGACGAAGAAGACGTAGGAAGTTAGCGTGAGTTTCAATGTTCTACCTCCTCTGCTGCGAATTGTTGGTTATGGAGGAATATGTTGGACTTCCAGAGTAGTGAATGGGGGCTGTGGATATGATTTCAGTATGTCAGAGAACCGCTTGTAGAGTGTCTAGAGCTCTATATAGAAGGGCAGCCGTAGAAACAATGGATACATTCAATAGACTCTGTTGTCATGGGCTCTCCGAAGCTTCATTGAAAGCCAAATACAGACACCTCAATCGTACAGTGCTCGTTTGGGATATGTAACTTTTGACCTGACCTAATTGAATGAGCTTGGAGCTGGGCGAGAAACCCTGCGAGTTGCTTGGATCATAGGTAAAGGCTTCAGATTCCAGACGGCTCTTGGATAACCATAAAGATATATACAATCTACCCAATACATGACTCGACTAAAGCCTCTGCGGGACAAAAAAAACGAATATCCAAAACCGGACTATAAGACCCAACATATGACTCCACCCATGATTTGCAAAAAGTATGCTCTGGGGCTCTATACCATGCGTGGCTGTTGTTTACTCCCGTGTTTTGACCAATAAATCCTCTATTGTCTGCCCTTCGTTAGGATGCCTCGCGGCTCAGATCATGCGCCCAACTCCTTGTTAGGTTCCAAGTTGAAGTTGTTGGTGTGCAGACCTTTCAGCACATCTTCTCCATCCTTCGTCAGATCTGGCTTTCCAATCGGCGTTGTTGCGCCTGTGAAAAACCGCGGTTGCCACTCCGAGTTTCTCGCTTTCCGGTCTGCTGCCTTTTCCCTTTGACGCTCCTCGAGCTCTTGCTTCAGCTGCGTCGCGAGGCCGAATTGTTTGTTGAGAATCGCATCCGTGACGCCGGCCCAAAACTTTCGGGACTCATTGCTGAGCTGATCCTCAATCGGTGGGACCAATTTCGCAACAGGGAAAAGGGGGTTCAAATCTATGAGAAGAAGTTTCTCCTGCGAAAACAATGTTAGGAACTTTTCCCATGCCAATGGAGATATTACGCACTGTATTCTTCGCGAAAGCCTGGCTCCCGAGGGTGTAGTAAACCTTGTCCTGCCAATTGCCTTCGATTCTTCCCAGAACGTCTTTGTCCGGCACATCTTTTATCTTTGCCTTGGTATCATTCTCGGGATCGTACGTAAAGATGACGCCTTGAACCTTGTTCTGTGTCCGTCCTAGCCAGCCCTCTTCGAGATATTCCAGGATGACTTTTATTCGGGTTTTCGCACAAGTCACGTAACAGGTATCGGCAACGCTTACGCTAAGAGAGCCTGGTACATGCTGTCAGTATTTGGTTCATACAGTGAGGGGTATAGCTCAGACACACCTCTAAGTAGGCCCCCTAAATGAGCAGCCGGATGAGTTAGCTGATATTGCTCACCACCCCAATTTTGCAATTCTATGAAGATGCCCAAATTGTGTGCTCCCGGAGTGACACGAATGCTGGTTCCGGTGAACTTTGCGCTCAACTGGTCGAAACCGCGTGCAATGATTCCCTTTTCCGGACAGTCGACAAAGAATGCTGAAACCGGCGGATGATGTGATGTTTGCTCCGTGAGGTATGAGATCCTGACATTCTTTGTAGACTTCGTCGATGCTGTGCTAGCAGCGCTGCTAGTGGATTTGCCGTCCGGTGCGTGTTTGATAGGCGGCGCAGTGTCTTCGACTTCCCAATTACACTACGGAATTTGTTAGTTTTGAAGATCTTGAGGGCATCACCCGTACGCACCCGGAAGAACTCTCCGAGAGTCGAATTGTAGGGTTTACATGGTTTCCCTTTCACGTATTTCTACCACCCGGGTCAGTGCAAATACCACCTGTACGCAATCATTCGTACCAAGTCCTTTGTAAACCAAAAACGTAGCGTTCCAAGCATACGGCCGAGGGCCTCTTCCGAGTCGCCAATACTGACTATGTCAGCGTTTTGTCCTTGCAAGTATGAGGGAAGGTGTAAGACCTGATGAATGTCTCGGGTCGGTCCAGATAATTCCAGTACTCTAGTACCCAAATCAGATCGGCTCCTCTGGGGCGTATCAGGAGTTCCGATAGCATGTCAAAGGATGGGGCTCACCGAGATTCGGGGTGGGCTCTAGCAGTTGAGCAGGCAGAGAAAAGCGAACAGCAGCAATGTCTGCAACCCCCATGAATCTATTGGGAAGGCACAGGCATTAGCAGTGTCTCGGACGGTGAACGCATACAGCAGCCGTCTACGCGAGACTCGTACTGTGCCACCTACTTCCGGAGTATACCCAAGAAAGTCCGCAATTTCGACGTGTCATCCGGTGCCTTCTCAACTGGAGCAGTGGCTGGGGTCGCGGCCGTCGAGGCCTCTGTCGAAGTGGCGGCGGATGGAGCTGGGGACGGCTTGACCGCCACCTTTGGAGCAGCCAGGGCCGGTTCCGCCATGAAGGGCACGGCGGTTGTCTGGAGGGCGAAGGAGTACAGATGGAGGAGGGGCGACGCCCTAAAGTTTCGGTGCGGGAGTCCGGCGTGATGTTCTAGCGGCGTAGAGGCGGGTGGTGGAGTGGTGGAGTGGTAGAGTTGGGCGAGGAATACAGCCTGGGAGTCTCGTACCTAGGTAGATGACATCAACAATACAGAGCTTAGGTATCGCACTTGGCACACGCCCTCCACGCCTGAGACGCCTCTCCGTCGCTGCGCAGGCTGCATCACAGGTTCCGAGCGGGCGCGTATCTATCATTGTTGACCTCGAGCATTGCGCGGCGTCGGAACACTAGGGCCAATCAATCTTCCACGAAGCACGCTGACGACTAGCCATTGCATGTGCACATGGGCATGCAGCATGGGAACACCTCCTTGCGTCCGCCTGCTCACTATCGACGTGCCCCTCGCATGCATTCCAAGGTCATTATCATTATGCCGAACCGCTAACCTTGCTGAGGCACATATCCGCGCTGGCTTCAACAAATTTCCACATATCCCAAGACGGAGAGCATTTATCTTCTTTAGATCCCGGAAAATACATTGAAGCAGCCCAAGCAGTGGTAGACAGTGTACACACGAGACACTTGCTGTAGAAATAATGCGCCACCTTTTCCATGCCCCGCGTGACATCAGCACTCATGGCCCCAAGACTGACCTAAACAGATGCTGGATCTCCAAGGCTAAGTTTGATACATGAATTGATAGGTTGCTATGTATCCCGTCTACTTGATCATCAACAGTAGCACAAAATATCCCCAGAGCCGCGCAAGACTCTAATGTGCCAGTATGCACGGTCAAAATAAAAAACGCCCGGAGCCCAAATTGGAAAAGGGTGAATGGTTGTACATAAATCCCATATCTATTTTACAAGGATAGGGGCCGTCGTTCTGGCCCTATCGGCGGCCAGGTCTGCCAATTTCTGAAGCTTCTCGGTGCGGATTTTGCGCAGGTATCGGAATAGGAGAATGAAGAGCAGCTCAACCCTGGTTATATCGTCAATATCCTGTGAGGTGTATATTGGGCCAGTAAGAGTGTGACATACCTCTCCTTGGTCATCATTAGGAATCCTTGGACCAGTAGTCCTTTCAAGATCTGCGGCCCGATACCCTTAAAGAGTCCAAGAAGGCCTTCGTGCTCAATGATGAAGGACATGACCTCTATGAAACTCTTGAATGGTTTGCCGTTGCGCGCTGGTGGTGGCTTCGACTGAAGGCCAACCTTGGCCACTATGAGCGGCTGGGTTGCAATTGTTGCCAGTGCTTTCGACATGGACCCTAGAACTTCGGAGAGCATTAGCTTGCGTTGAATGATGCTGAAAGTGACTTACTGAATGCCTCCCAGGGCCTCAAAGTCGTCTTCCCGGGGTACAATACATCCCGTAATCGCTGATAAGCTCCGTATGTGATGGCCGGATTCACAACTAAGACCAGGCTTGCCTTCAACCCCCGCCAGAGGCCCGTCCATCCATCCTCGCTATTCACGACCTCTCGACCTGTCGCTATGAGTCCTTTCCTCTCCAACTTAGATACTGTCTGTTGTCGGGTTGTCACCACAGCCACCGGAATTGTGAAAAGTTGAGCGACGGCGCCTGCGACGGCGCCCAACGAGAGCTCGATAGCGGTGCTTGGTTTACCCTGGACCTTCTGCGAGGAGATGTAGAGCGTTCGGACTACCGTGTACCAGTAAAAGTATGCAAAGTTCGTTGATGCGACTCCAATCAGAGAGCCCGTTAAGCCGGCATAAAGGCCCGGAACACCATCATCCCGCACGATCTTGTTTATGGCGTCCAGAGTCGAGGTGTAATGTTCTCCATCGGCCGGGTTGGTGGGTTCTGCCGAGGGCTTACGTTTGACTTGTACTTGGAGCCGCGTCTTGACTCTGTCAGAAGTGTTAGTATGGTATTATAAGCTCGCTGTGTCCTCGACTTCCGAGGGTCGTTGGATTCTGTCATTCTGCTGGCTCGGAGTACTTACATGTCCAGCGGATAGACAATGGCATTCGCCAACACAGCACCAGACGCACCGGCTATAGCACTGCCCCAAGGCGGTAGTGGTGCAACCTTGGACTGCCCAGCCATTGTTGCGGCCGGTGAGAAAGCTGTACGGAGGAGGGAGGTTGGAGGTGACGGAAGCGGGGGACAATGATATAGCTTGTGGTCAGGTATTCATACCAAGTGCTAGAGAACTGAGCAGACGAGGGAACACCGTGTTTGGGGAAAGGAAGATGGGAAATCCTAAAAGGGAAGCGGCAACGAGAGACATGGTTGGAGTGGGTGGTGGTTAAGCACATCCCCATCCCGGCCTACAACCGAGGCAATGCTCTAACGGAGGTGTCGTTTCTATCACGTGTTCGAGAGCAACTGCAGCTTTTTTGAGATTGGAAAGTAGCTTGAGAAAGCGGTACCACTTACATTGATGCCCGCCGCCTGGTTAGTACTACGGTATCCAACTGCTTTGACAGGTGCATATAGTCAGTCCTTACCATGCCTCTTCAGTAATTGAAGGGTCGACCTAAGTATGGCAATCCCAACTTTGCGCGTGTTGAATTTCACATGAAAGAGGGCATAGGTAAAGCGTCATGCGCTAGGCATTCTAGGCACAGGCACATACGGGGAGGCCGGGACGTGAGCCGCAACCACAACACCCAATGGCCTGTTTATGGTAATAACACCACTTCCAATACGCACATTTCCTCGGCTGGCCTAAGACGGGGCCTAGCTGATGGGAGAGTTGGGAAAGCATGACCGCCCGTGCACGGGAGCGGTTAGAGACGCTCATCGGGGAGGTTAAGGTGATTACTATCCTATGTCCCGTTCCCGTCTGATTGATCTAACGGTGACAGAATCAAGAACGCTATCTTGCTACCGCTAGAACCAGAGACGAGGCGCTCAATCACGCACGCCTGGCCGCAGAGTTCTCGTTCAGAGCTTTTGAGCTTTCTGTAGAAAAGGGCGAAAAGGCTGACCTGAAAGCTAAATTCGAAACATATCTGGGCCAGGCTGAGCGGATCAAAGCAGCAAACTGTTGGCCTCTCTTAGCGTCCACTAGCATCTCTACCGATGACTTAGCTTCTCCACCGTCAAGCAATGCTTTCGATGATCTCCCAAATCTCGCTGCCGATGAAACGCTACCGCACGACTTTGCCAACAAACTTACTATTGGAGAGAGTTCTTCTCCCACTCCGATTGTGGGTCAGTCTACTCCTGATGCGTTCATCAGGACTAGTAGAAGTGCCTCCTCGCCTGCGTCGAAACTAGAAGAATCACTATTTTCGCCGTCTGACCCATCACTGGAGCATGCGCCATCATTTCTAGAGGACTTTGACTCAGTTCCGCTAAAGGCGAACGCTCTTACTTACGCACTACTGAATCGAGAGAATGAGGTTCCTGTCAGGAATCAAGTCGAAGTACCGTCCTACGGCCAATATTCCGCATCTCTAGTAGAAACAAAACTCCCTAGTCATGGCTCCTCACCTACCATGGATGTCAAATCGCTCAAAGAACCGATATCAAGCCGAACGTTGTCCAAAAAAGAACAGATCATCTTGCTAAAGGCCTCGAGAATCAACGGCTTTGTTTTCCCTCCTTGGAAAGAGCCACCCGTTCCGTCCGAGTTTCACCTCGAGTATCAGGCTGAACCCTTCCTGTAGGTCTCTAACTCTCTTTTGTCCTCAGTGTCTAACCTGTGTAGGGACGTCGTGGAATTGAAATTTTCTTCACATCAGATGGAGCATTTCCAATCCTGGGCACGCGCCAAGGATGCACTTCCGCCTCCGTCCTGGTTTCCTGGCGATCGAAAAGATCTGGTTCCAACTATGCGGGCTAGTCGTTCCGTAGATCTTGTTCAAGATGCTGCCACGGACTGCTCGGTAGTCGCCAGCTTATGCGCGGGCATAGCAAGGACAGAACGGGGCCATGATTCGGTCAGTAGTTTCCCCACGTTTGCTGTCTTAGTCTCATACAACACAGGTATTCTACCAAACAATATGGCCTCACGACCAGCCGAGTAAAAGGCCTACAATCTCTCCAAACGGGAAATACGTCGTTCGCCTGAATTTTAACGGCTGCTGGAGAAAAGTGATTATTGACGACCGACTTCCACTGTCAAAAACAAACCGAACCTTACATGTGGTGGACCGGAAGAACTGTGGACTCTTGTGGCCCGCACTCCTTGAAAAGGCTTACCTCAAAGTAAGGGGGGGCTATGATTTTCCTGGAAGCAATTCTTGTAGTGACCTGTGGGCATTGACTGGATGGATCCCCGAGCAGATCTATCTGCAAGAGTGAGTAAATACAATCAACGTTCATATGATATTGCTAAGAAATACTCTAGAGGCGATCTCGTCCCAAGCCAGCTATGGACACGTCTTTACGCCGCCTTCCTTTATGGCGACGTGCTCGTTACATTGGGCACTGGCAAAATGACACATCGAGCAGAACGAGAACTAGGCTTAGAAGGCCAGCACAGCTACGTTATTCTCGACATGAAGGAGACTGACGAAGAGAAAGCCTTGCTGGTTAAGAATCCTTGGCTTGATGGGAAAGGCTGGAGAGGCCGTCGCCCGTCACTAGACTTTTTAATGGAAGATTCGTCACTAAATAGGACTTATCCAAGGTCAAAGGAAGCAACAAAATCAAACGCAAAGCACAATCCCTATCCCTCAACGTTCTGGATTGGCTTGGATAGTGTGGTACAGCATTTTGAGAGCTTGTACTTGAACTGGAATACAGGTCTCTTCAGCCACCGACAGGATATCCATTTCTCATGGGACCTGCTGGAACGCTCCACTGCCTCTGGCAGTGTCGCAGACCATCCTCAATTTTCCTTTACTTCTGATGTTGGTGGGGTAGTCTGGCTAGTTCTGAGTCGCCATTTCCGAGACACACCTGTAGATGCGCATAATCAGTCGGACGCGTTCAACGATGGAACGGTCCGCTCTGGTCGGGACAAGGCCACCGATGACGACCCTTTGAAGGGCTACATGAACATCTATATTTACGATCGACAAGGCCTGCGCGTGTTTGTCAAGGACAATTACTTCGAAAGAGGTCAATACGTCAACACACCGCAAAGCCTACTCCGCTGGCAATGCCAGCCAAACTCTACCTACACCTTAGTGATAGACCAGGAAGATTTACTGCCGTCGCTCTATACCTTTACGCTTTCGGCGTTTTCGAGCTCTACCATGACACTCGAGCAGGCCCGGAAGAAGTACCCACTCGAGAAAAGGATATCCGGCAGGTGGACAAGTGAAACGGCCGGAGGAAACACACACTCCACGAAGTACTTTGACAACCCACAGTACAGTCTGACGATCGGACATCACACTCCCTTAGCCATTCTGATCCAGACGCGTGACGGGCGTCATCCTGTTCATGTGAAGTTAGTCCATGGGCACGGAAAGCGGATTCACAGCATTCAAAGCCGAAACATTCTCGCAGATTCTGGAGAGCATTGCAACGGTTGTGCTCTGGCCGAAGTACATGACGTTCCTCCAGGAACGTACACGATCATCTGCTCAATGTTCGAAGCCGACCAAACCGAGGAGTTCTCATTGACCGTATACAGCGGGTCTAAATGTGTCATCCAACCTATACCTCGGGACGGTGCTGGGATGGTGCCAACGAGGTTGACCGATGCTTGCTTCAATAGCTTGGTCAACAAGGTAGCAGCTCCTCTTGTACCTCGCAGAATCGCAGCCATCACAGTTATCGTCAAGTTTATCTATGCTCGAACGCCCAATACGACGTTGGCGCTGGGGAAAGACGTGAAGAATCGAAACCCGCTGCGGGTATTGATCGAAACCGGTAGAGGGCCACAGAAGGTACTGCTTGCAAGCAGTGACAACGGCGAGTTTAGTGATGCTGGGACGATCAGAATACAGCGTGTAGACTTGCGACCGGAGATGCTGTACGACGGAGATATCTGGTTGGTTTTAGAAAGGCTCACCAGTCCTGGCAGTGCTATCGAAGAAGGGTTCACTGTAGAGTTACTCGCGGATGCACCTCAAGCGTTTTCGGCTGGGCTGTGGAGGATTTGGGATGATTGAGAGTACTAGTACGCTTCCTTGCGTCTTAAATACACCTTCAAAATACAAACAAGAGCAAAGAACTTCGAAGAAATGGTGTATGAGCTCGCTATAATATACCTTGAACACGAGTGCCAAGTGCCTACGATTATCTTATACAGAACGAAACTCGACAGGTCCGCCGTTGTGATCGGCAGATATCCTAAATGCGCAGCATTGGAACAAGAAAAATAAAGAGAGACATTGCGCTGCTAAGTCCTGCATTAAAAAAAGAAAGCCAAATACGACCCTATAATATAGTTGGTATAAGCTTCTATTTTTCTTATAAACGGGCTATTAGCCAGCGGCGATAATAGTGCAGTGCTATAAATAAACTAAACTAATAACGCCTCTATAAAATAAAGTATTATTAATAATAGCCTTTTTTATATAAGTATACTAAAGAAGACTAGAATTATCTACTTAATATAAAACCCCTAAATTAGCTAGGTTAAAACCTAGGGGTTCTAGTAAAGCAACTTCTAAATAGTATATTTCTAAGATAGCACTGGTATAGGTATAGGTAAGTATAATAGTAATTTCTAACTTATATTCTTAAAAATTAGTAACTAAAAGAAAAAGGGATAACGTAATCCACAAGTTAGTGGCCCGCACAAGCTAGTGGCCCACCCAACTCAACACGCGACGCGTCGTCCAACAACCACCCCAATGGCAGCACCACAACAACAAGAAGCCATCTTTCAAGAAGGCAGAGTTATTCTAGGCGTTCAAGCCTACAAGACCGGCCAAATTACATCCTTCCGAGGCGTTGAGAAACTATACGATGTGCCAAGAAAGACGGTTACGCGTCGCGCCCGTGGTATTCCTCCACAACGCGGTGCTATCTCCAAAAATCGCCGTCTTACACCTGTACAAGAAGAGGTTCTTGTACAGAGGATTCTGTCGATGGACCAGCGTGGCATGCCGCCCCGTATTGCTACTGTACGGCAG